AACAGGTTTAAACAGGTCTAAACTAGATCTAAACCAGGTTTAAACTAGAAAACTAGACTAAAACCAGGTTTAAAAAGGACTAGGTAAACTCTAAACCAGGTAGATTAAACCAGGACTAAAACCAGGTTTAAACTAGATCTAAACTAGATCTAAACCAGGACTAAAATAGGAGTAAACCAGGACTGAAACAGGATTTAACACTTCTCAATCATGCTGCTCAGACGTGTCTCTTCTTCTATCAATAATATTTTTAATATGGTTAAGTAAAGTCTGGGCTTTTCATTGTCTTTTAGCAAATAAAACATCTTGTCTATTCTTTGCTTCTCTACTGAATATCAAGTAATCCAAAATATTCAGATAACGTTACTCACTTTAAGTAATTTAATGGATTATGTTACAAACTACATTTTGGGGTATGTAATCTGTAATCTGTAGGGGAATACATTTTAAAAGTCACCTTCCCAACTCTACACATATGAAATAAAGGAACTCATTGGAATACATGACCGGTCAAATTATGTTTCTTCTTAATTTCCATGATTATTTCCACTGCAGATTGTCACTGAAGGCATCAAAACAAAAATAAACTCAGAATAACGCAGAGTAACAGATCATTTATAGATTAAAGCAAGTTTAAAACAAGCCTTTACCCTTTGCTTTGAACCCTGCTTTGTACTCTTGGCATGGCCTGACCTTGACACTGCACAAGCTGTGAGATGAAAACCATTACAGGAGACTTCATGAAGCTCAGTGAGACAATGCCAAGGGTTTGCAGAGCTGTCAACAAAACAAAGGATGGATACTAGATTTGAATATAAAATATTGTTCCTGTCTCGGTCCATAAACACGGGGATAGTGATAGCGAGTTGTTATTTTCCCTTTTTATTCTGCTCACCTCTCCTTTAACAACTGTGGGTCCCTTCACAGTCGCCAATGTTAAACCTCTCCTGTCTCAGTCCTCGGACCGTGGTCAGAGGACACGGGAGAGAACCAATGAGCTGCAGCGGCCGCTCGTCCCTCAGGGTTTAAATCCTTGTTCTTTCACTGGAAATACATTTAAAGGGCCAATATTGTGCTATTTTCTGATCAATATTATAATGTTTCCTTCAAAATCACAAACAGACCTGGAGTTGTGTTTTGTTTCAGTTACACATGTTCAACACACAAACGCAGCATATTTAGGCTGACTTCTCAGTTTCACCCTTTGATGTTGTATGTAAATACAGGAAATGCTCCTGTATTTCCTGTGTTTTTAAACACCTTCATAGAATCATTTGGACAATTTAGAACAATCTAGAGTTGCCACTGAACAAAGGGGAAAATGTAGCAGGCAACCTGACCTATCACTTCATGACATCACATAGTGAAACAGAGCATTTTGAGCTTTGGAGATATAGACAGAGTAATGATGCAGGATTTTCTCAAATGTGTGACAACTCCAGGTTGTTGTTTTTGATGAGTCAACATTATAACATGGCTTAGAACTCTCAAGAGTCAATTCTGTGTTATATAGAACCTTTAATAAACATTCAAACATTCTACATAGGTCTCCAAGAACAGTTAATAGTCAAAGTCAATTAAATACAATCAATCAATGAACCTGTCCAGGGCACTGATGTTAGTGGCTATACACTTCACCCACATTGCCTAGTATGAAAGTGATGTGTGTGTGAGTGATGGTGGTGGTCGGAGGGACCGTTGGCGCCGATTGGCATGGCAGCCGCGCCTCTGTCAGTCTGCCCCAGGGCAGCTGTGGCTACAACAGTAGCTTACCATCGCCAGGTATAGAGTGAATGAAATATATATATGCTGAATGTAATGCTCTGTAAAGCATCTTTGTGACAAAAATGTCTGTGAAATGCACTATATATATATGGGGACTTACTTACTTACTTCATTGCAGAGCCCTAACATCTCTATAAAGACGAGCAGATGGCAGATCCTCCACTGGAAAAGTTAGGCCATGAAGGCCTTATACACTGCACTTCCCACATGTGAGGAAGTTACATAACATGGGACCATGGGACTAAAACTTTATTTTGAGTTTGACAGTTTTATTTTGTACCCTGTATGATTTTCATTTGCACAGGTTTCATAGACTTACCTATGAACCTATTAGTTATTATTTGCTTACCCTTCCCATATCTGTTTAATAATAGGTTATGTAACATACGACTCTCCTTTATGGGGACTGGGGACCCTCTTTCCAAACATGTAATCCCACTCTCCCATTGGACAGCAGCTGGGAGGCCGGTGGGGCCTAAGACCCCTCCAATTCTTCACACTTCTGTAAAGTGTTCTGGAGAAGGAAACTGACCCAGAGGGACGGGGCAAACACGAAAACAACCTCTCACACTGTACTTAAGACTTAAGGCATCACAACTATGTGGCTACAGTCTCCTTCCAGCAAGAAGGTTCTAAGTTCAACTCTCATGCAGGCCACTCTGTGTGGGCCTGTCTGAGTGCGTCTCCTCCAGGCACTCCGGTTTCCTCCATCGACCCAAAACATGCATCATTGGTCTAATCCTCCAGCTGAGATAGTCCAACCAAGACTAATTCTAGATCTGGAGATGGGTTCCTCTGCTCTTGTCAGCATTCTTCAGCCTATTTTAGCAAAAAAAAAAAAAAAAAAAAACAGCCGCTTTAGTTTGTGAAATATGTGCAGAGGGAAGAGCTTTGTGTATTTATGGATCTGTAGATTTAACAGATTTAACATTAGATTTTTTGGCTTGTTCTCAGTTGTAATGGTTCAACCAATCAGCTTGCAGTATTGGCTGGAACATCTCAGTAATTGACTTTCAGTCAGTCATCACAGACTGATAATGTGTAGAGCTCATGCACTTGTCTGTCTGGCATGAGCTACGTAGGTTCAAATATGAACAGTCCTGGAGCTGTTTACAGTGTGCACTCTGAACAGAATCCTACTTTTAAACATACAGTATGTGTCACACTAGTCAGATTCTATATGGTGCAGCCCTAGACTTATGATTTTCAGCTTTTCTCTACATGCAAATCTGGTCCAGTTCCAGATGGTTCTGTGTCTCCTATAAGAGGATTAGAATAATGATGCATGGCCATTAGTGCAGTGAGGAGATGGTGCCAAAACTGCTCCATAACTCAAGAGTGATAAAACTCGGGCGAGTCCTTCTGAGAAACAAACCTCATGTACATGTAACACTGCGTGCACTTTCACTGGGGCTGAGGTGGCCGTGGTGCAGTGGGTTCAGCTTGGCATTTGACTATGAACAGGAGGGCACATGGTTCAATTACTGCTAAGTGCCTGAGAGCAACAAGAAGGGCATCTGACATAATACAACTGCATCAGCATGACTTGTTTGCTGTGGAATATAGTAGGGCCCGACCGATATATTGGTTAGCCGATATTATCTGCCAATATGGGCTCCTGGAAAGATATCGGTGATCGACCTAAATCTTGCCGATATGGGCCGATATTTCAAGTGGGCATGTTGTACCTTGTTCTCAAGCTTAGGCTCTCTACATTATGTTCATTTAATCCAATTTACAGGCAGATAAATGTCCTAATATGTGGCACCGCATCAGTATTTATCTACGGTGTAATTTGTCTGTGTGTGTGTCCGTACTGTCCCTGAACACACCACAGAGTCGCGTCACTCACATGCACTTGTTTACACCCGCAGACACAGATCCATGTGCAACATTGAGATTATATTCTTTTTACGGACAATCTTTTTGAGTCTGGATTCAAAGGACATTTATTAGTGCAGACGTGTGATGTGAGAGGAGTCTGTGTGAGCGCTGAGTGTTGGAATTGTGTCTGTTTTGAAGCTAGTTTTGGTTCGTTCTGACAGGTTAGCGATTAGCTGCTGTAGCTCCCACACATAAACAGACTGTTTTCTCTTCTATTGGCCTATTGTAAAGTGACTGTATATTTGTTACTGGACCAGCATTGATATGTAAATCAGCTGTGAATAGAGGTGTGAATGATCGTCATTTGCGCATATAATTAATTACCGCGTTGCGCAGCATTTACCGCTAAAGGCTAATAGTGGTAGTTACTTTCTTTACTAGTAGCTAGACATGCAAAAATGCCATTAGGTCGACCTACTGCCTGTAAATATGACATAAAGAGGTAGAATAACAATAAATGTTGCCTAAATAAACCCAGTTTAAAATTCACGAGAGCCAAACCAAAGTTTTTTTAGCAATTCAAGATTTACTGTGAATTTTTTCATCACTAAATATATCGTCGATTATATCGGTTATCGGCAGCTCCGACTCCCATTTTATCGGTTTCATATCAGCCACAGCAAAATCCATATCGGTCGGGCCCTAGAATATAGTAGCTGTAGAAAATGTCACTATGGCCCCAGGATATCAGAGCTAGGTTCATATTACTGTTGTCACACAACTAAACTTTCAAACATGATTTTGATACTAAGGAACAGATCTCAGAGCTCAATATTGATTCTAATACCACATTTATAATAAAAACACTTATTTAGACAATATAATGTGATTTTCAATGAAATCATAGTACTTTCCTTTATATTACCATTTGGTCTTATATTTGTGTAATATCTGAGTCGTCCAGGTAGGTTCAATTGTTTTAGATAAGTATTTTATATAAATTGAACCATTTTAAACCACAATCTGCATGTTCTCTGAGCTCTGTCCAATCAGAGCAGGCGATGGTGTCATGTGTTTGTCAGGCAGAAAGAATCAGAGACAGACGTGGATTGGAACAGCTGAGATTTGTGCTTATATGATTTTAAATGTGATTAATTACAATTACACAGTGAGAACTTAACTCAATTAAAATACAAGTTCAGGTTTTAATCTAGTCAAAAAAGTTCAGTTACCCAAAATATCTACTTGTGTTTTTGTATTTGCATCTTAACTCTTTGTAGTAAAGCACTTGGTGACTTTCTTGTTTGTGAAAAGTGTTATGTATAAGAAAAACTTGCCGTGCACACTTGACCTCAGATGTTCTTTGTGTTGTGTCTCTTTGTGTTGTCCAGTTTCGGAGCAGGGCCCAGAACAGCGGCGCCTCTACAGGGACCTGATGAGTGACTACAACCCCCTAGAGCGGCCGGTGAAGAACGACTCCGAGACCCTCATGGTGCAGTTTGGACTGACCCTCATGCAGATCATGGACGTGGTCAGTCTCACCAGCACACAGGCATTTATTTACACCAAAAACTATACCTATAAAAAGATCTGAACAAAGGCCTATATATATTAAATCAAATTCAATCCTGTGTAGGCCTGTAACGATAAAAAATTTTGCCGGATGATTAATTGACCAAGAATTTATTGTGATAAACGATAATATTGACATTTTGAGACCAATTTCAACTAATATAATAATAAAACCATGGAATAAAAATGCAAATACATCCTCTCAATGATCAATAAACCTTACTTTCTAAAGAACATCTAACACAGGAAGTGTAAGACAACCAAAAACAACAAGCCTAAATAAAACAGACTTAACACAGGACTAGCCTAATGTAGTCTGGCTGTCAGCAAGGACTTGCAAACTTACAAAAATGCACTTGATTAAACCACTGTTGAACCAAATACAACCAAAGCAATAAATAAAATGGATTATTAAGTCTCTGTAGCAAAATTATCTTTAAAAGTGATTTTAGTCATTGACTTACACTGGAATATTGTGTCTCGTTTCTCTGTGGCTGTTGCTGTGAGACTCTGCATTTTGGTCATTTAAAGGGATACTTTGGGTTTTTTGACATGAATCTGTATGTCATCCCCGTGAGCAGTGTCGTGCATCCACACTGACTTACCCCGACAGCGACCGGTGAGCCGAGATACTGGCCGTTTTCGGTGCTGACGAAAGTAGTCCCGTAAGTCGACTATGGACTGTATAATAAAGCGTTTTTCTTCTCAGAACAATCTGTGTTCAAAAGAGTGATACATTTGCATCACAAAACCATCGTCCTCCAAAAAGTCAGACGTCATAATTGCATGGCACTATTTTTTCTCCGTTCATATCAGTGCACACTGTCGCCATGTGACAGCCGCGCCTGGTTCACAGCCTGGATAATCAAGATCTCGCACCATTTTTTAGATATATTCTTATGTATCTTATACAAGCTTATATACTTATCGCTCTAACTCTCATGTTAACGCTCTCACGTCACAGTGGTCTGCGCATGTAAACACTGCCAAACAACTGAAGAAAGTGATGGATCCGTGCACGGCTGTCACCTGGCGGCAGCGCGCAGTGATACGAACGGAGAGAAAATAGTGCCAAGCGATAATGAGATCTGACTTTTTTGGAGAACGATGGTTTTGTGATGCAAATGTATCACTCTTTTGAACACATATTGTTTTGAAAAGAAAAACTTTTTATTTTACTGTCCCCAGCGAACTTGCCGGACTACTTTCGTCAGCACCGAAAACGGCCAGTATCTCGACTCACCGGACGCTGTCGGGGGTAAGTCAGTGTGGATGCACGACACTGCTCACGGGGATGACATACAGATTCATGTAAAAAACCTGAACTATCCCTTTAAATGTTCATATGAACCCGCAACACAGGATGCTGTTTCTCTATGAGGGACTCTCTGTCCTGTCTGTATCGTGTCGGTTCGGTTTCGGGATTTCGGGTTCTCCCGGGCGCTAGGCTAGTTCTGTCGCTTGGGTTTGGGTTTATATCAGCTGCTGGGGTTTGACACATTTCTTCTCGTTATTTGCGCGCTCGCTGCATTTGGTGCACGTGGCTGTTGAGACGTGTCCCACTCACCAGTGTTGATTCGGCACCGTGACTTGTTTTGGCGCTCGGCGATGAACTGTTTTGTCACTCTGACAGCGGCGTTAGCTTATGTTACTAGCGCACCGCACAGACAGCGGTGCTTTCTGCATTTGCATTTGCAGAAACGCGCAGACTCCGCACGCATCCGCTCTGTTTATAAACACAGCGCACATTTGTTCAAGCGTCATTACGCTTTTTCAACGAGAGGAGTCAGAGAATGATAGAAGCTTCTAACATTCAGTCTCTTTGGGAGCGAGAGAGCGAGAGGAAAACAAACAAGTTGCAAATAGAATTTATCGTGGCTGGAAAAGCTATTGAGCTCGTTAAAAGTTATCATACAATTAATCGATTTATTGATTATCGTTACAGGCCTAATCCTGTGACAATATTGCCTGGGATGCAAAATACACACAATACAATACTTTACCAAGAGGTGAGTCTGGGCATGATTGGAAAATAAATATGTCTGCTTACAAGGGGAAAAGAAGATACAATTCATACACAAAATAAGTCAAAATGCAGAAAGGAGCACAAAGATCACACAGGCCTGGAAAAAATGTCTGATCTCAATGAGCGACGCACTAAATGACACGAGAGAAGTTTGATTTTGTTCAAATTTGTAGGCGACCATTGAGCTCCTTTGTTTCTAGAATGTGACCTATACTGATGAAGAGTATATTTAAGTGTGCATTTGCTCCACAGGATGAGAAGAACCAGGTCCTAACCACCAACGTCTGGCTGCAGATGGTAAGACCTATTTGATTACACAAACACATTTTTCAAAGACAAAACACTGTAAAAAGTTAACGTCTTAGGCCCTGTCCTTACTAGTGTGTATTTGAGTCATTTTCGTTGTGGATGCAGTTTTCCTCCACACTAATCTGATTGAAAACGGCTCCAGAGAAGGAACGCTCTGATGCCTCCATCTCCCACGAATTCATCTGAGTACAGATCTGATCCGGCACTGTGTGGACGCCTGAAAACACTGATACATTGATGTAGTAATTCACCGCTAAAACGCTAAGAGGCTAGAATATATGTCCATTCATATACACGGTCTGTGTGTACGACCTGCAGATGTATAATCTCTGAAAAGTTTAACATGAACCATCTTCAATGTGAACAGACAGAACACCCCTCAGTCACAGAAAGAACACTCATATTCCACTGCGTCATGTCCTTTAGTCCGACAGAACCTGAACCGCATCAGCGCACAATAGCGAGCTGTTTTTTGAGCACTTACTTTATGCAAATGAGTCATGTGGTTTTAAGTTTCGTTTCTGTAAAATGTGAAGACATATATGCTCAAAGCTGTGTGGATAGGGAAGGATTGCAGACGGGATGTGTCTGGATGCAGATTGTTTCCAATAAGGTGATACAGTGATACGCGGATTCGTTTCAGTGTAAACGGGGTCTTATTTCCCTGACATGTCTGGCACTTGTCTGTAGCACTTCCGCCTTCATCAGAGGTGTGACTGCTGTGACTTGTCTCTGATCAGCTGTTGTTCAGGCGTCCTCAGTTTAATTTTTCTGGCAGATCTACAGATGAGGGGGCGTTTACCTTGCCTCACACATGGGGCTCACTTCTCCAGAGACCACCATGCCATGGTAGGTGTGGTCAGTGTGATAGACCTGCCAGATCCATCAAACAGACACCCCTCTGGCGAATGTCAAAATGCTCCCGCCCAAACATGTCAGGGAAATAAGACATTTAGCTTTTTACAGTGTTTGTCTCATTAGAAGAAATCACAACGCTTTGACACAAACTAGTTATTTATTTATGTATTTAAAAATATAGATAAATTCTTTTTTTTTGACATATTGTCTACTATAACATCAACCTGCCCGGGGACGACAGGTGGAAATTAGCACTGGCACTATAACCTGGTACAATGCATCTCTCCTGTTAAGGTTCATGTATATTGTGCACTGTCCCTGTCTCATTAAATAAACTAAACTAAACTAATTGTCAAAGCAAAATGCCACATTTCAGAAGAATAATGATTAGGGTTATTAACTTCTTTATATTTTTAGAGAGAAAAGCAAACATGAAAAACATGTTAAAATGCTGCATTGAGCCTGTAGTCTTTGCACTTAAATGTCCCTTGAATGGAAAATATTGTGCTAAATCAACTTTTGAACATGTTGTGAAGATTTCATGCATGTTTGAATCTATTTTATTGCTCTGCATTTGAGGCACCATTCCTGCTTTCCCCTACCCCCTATACACGCCCTTTACTCTGTACTTTATTATTTTTTTATGTGTCACAGTCAAAAAGAATGACACAGGTAAACACATTTCTTCATGTTGGAGCAAAGAACCATGGTCTGTATATATTTGCTCCAGCTCTTTGGTGCTGTAACAAAACAATGCATTTTAGAACCAGGAGCTTAACATCATATACAGTACACTCTTCATATAAGCATGTGAGACCCCCCTCACCTCTCTCTTGTGCTCATGTGCAGCTGTCACAGATGGAGCTTTTATGGCGGAGCTCCTCCCTGTGCTCCGTCAGCAGCCTGTCTCTCTGTAACACTGTCCACTGCTGCTGGCTCATAAATCAGCCTCATCAAGTCTGCCCTACTTTCCTTTTTCTAGAAAAATCTCTTATATTCTTAAATTTAATTTTCTGTTAAAGTAACCATTTTAAAAAGGTATGGTTTAAAAAAAAAGGTACCATAACCACAACTGAAGAGAACATGTACAAGTTCATTCTCAGTATATGGACAGACCAGACCTCATGTGAAAGCTCAGAACCTTCAGAATTCAGTCACTGAGCTGTAGAGGCTGCACTAGCACTGATAAACATGTCCATATTTAAATATTTTCTGATTTATGTTTAATGTTCTATCCTCATCACAACTTCTTTGAAAAAAAAAAAACTTGGTTCCACCTTGTAATGTCATGTGGTGATACACAAAATGCTCCACTGTGTTTTCATACATCGTCATGGGAATCATTTGGATAATTTCAGCCCTGGAATTGACAATCTCTACTAATCAAAAGGTAAAAGGAGCTGTTAATTTGAAAACTACCACTTCATGACATCAGAAGGTGGAACAGAGCACTTTGAGTTTGGAGATAGACAGACTAATAAAAAGTGTTACTCATGAATGAAACAAAACACACCTCCTGGTATGTTTTTGAGGATGTTGCAACATTCAAACCTGGCTAAAAGCTCACAAGAGTTGGCTGCAGGTGCTGGATGAAGTGAGAATAGGGGTACAGGGGAAAACACAAATTCTGAGCTCTCAAGTCTCAAATGCAGGACAATACAATCTGACTCAAACATGCATGAATCACTTACAGAGTTATTTGTGATTAAAACTACATTGCACAACCTGCTTGCACAGTTCTGTTTTTCAGTGTATCTGAGATTTATGTTTATATTTATGAATTCTGCATCATTTTAAGGTCGCTGTATCTGACTCTTCAAGGTCCTATACCTCATTTTTTCCCCCCAAGGATTAGTGCAACATGTGTCTTTCCCCGGTACAGATGTATTATATAAGCAGCTCTTAAGGTCAAAATAAGTCCACCTTGTGCTATCTGCATCTAATTGTAAAGCATTTTGGACCACTGCACACATTTCAAATGAACTGGTTCTGTTTTTCACGTTTTTAATACATCACATGAGCCTCAAACATTGAATGCCTCTGGAGGACTCTCACAGGCGGCTTTTCTATTGTAATAAACAATTACAGCCCCAGTGACACTAGAGCCTGCTCATCTCAGCCTGCTCATTATCTGCTCCTCCATCTGTCTCCCTAATGCCTGTGGGCGCTGACCATCATGTCCACTACATACATCCACAGACATGTGCATACATCTACACGTGCATACATCTACAGGCACACATGTGACGTGGCATTTAAACATGAAATAAGCCTTTTGTCTTTGTACAGACATGGACTGACTATTCCCTGCAGTGGGACCCAGCAGACTACCCAGGGGTCCGCAACGTCAGGTTCCCCAACCATCAGATCTGGAAACCTGACATCCTGCTCTACAACAGGTGAGCCGTCTGTGGCACTCGTGCACTACTGTATACTCATCACTGTTCACTCACAACCGTCCACTCACCACTGTCCACTCACCACTGTCCACTCACCACTGTGCACTCAAGACTGTTCACTCACCACACTCGCCACTGTACACTCACCACTGTCCACTCACCACTGTGCACTCAAGACTGTTCACTCACCACACTCACCACTGTACACTCACCACACTCACCACTGTACACTCACCACACTCACCACTGTACACTCGCACACTGTACACTCACCACACTCACCACTGTACACTCACCACACTCACCACTGTACACTCACCACACTCACCACTGTACACTCACCACACTCACCACTGTACACTCACCACACTCACCACTGTACACTCGCCACTGTACACTCACCACACTCACCACTGTACACTCACCACACTCACCACTGTACACTCACCACACTCACCACCACTGTACACTCGCCACTGTACACTCACCACACTCACCACTGTACACTCGCCACTGTACACCCACCACACTCACCACTGTACACTCGCCACTGTACACTCACCACACTCACCACTGTACACTCGCCACTGTACACTCACCACACTCACCACTGTACACTTGCCACTGTACACTCACCACACTCACCACTGTACACCCACCACACTCGCCACTGTACACCCACCACACTCGCCACTGTACAACCACCACACTCGCCACTGTACACTCACCACACTCATCACTGTACACTCGCCACTGTACACACTCACCACACTCACCACTGTACACACCCACCACACTCGCCACTGTACACTCACCACACTCGCCACTGTACACCCACCACACTCGCCACTGTACACTCACCACACTCACCACTGTACACCCACCACACTCACCACTGTACACTCACCACACTCACCACTGTACACCCACCACACTCGCCACTGTACACCCACCACACTCGCCACTGTACAACCACCACACTCGCCACTGTACACTCACCACACTCATCACTGTACACTCGCCACTGTACACTCACCACACTCACCACTGTACACCCACCACACTCGCCACTGTACACTCACCACACTCGCCACTGTACACACCACACCACACTCACCCACTGTACACTCACCACACTCACCACTGTACACCCACCACACTCACCACTGTACACTCGCCACTGTACACTCACCACACTCACCACTGTACACTCGCCACTGTACACCCACCACACTCACCACTGTACACTCGCCACTGTACACTCACCACACTCACCACTGTACACTCACCACTGTACACTCGCCACTGTACACTCACCACACTCACCACTGTACACTCGCCACTGTACACTCACCACACTCACCACTGTACACCCACCACACTCGCCACTGTACACCCACCACACTCGCCACTGTACAACCACCACACTCGCCACTGTACACTCACCACACTCATCACTGTACACTCGCCACTGTACACTCACCACACTCACCACTGTACACCCACCACACTCGCCACTGTACACTCACCACACTCGCCACTGTACACCCACCACACTCGCTGTACACTCAGTTTTACACTCACAACTGTACACTATAGTGGACTGGGCCTCAATCACGAAGTGTTTTTATCAACAAATCCTAAGAACAGTCCGGAGAAACTGTACAAACAAAAATGCTACTAGAATGCTAGAATATTACTATTATTACTCTTATAATGCTATCAAAAATTCTAATTCCTCCATGATTTATAAAATATCTAGTAACAATCTTGAGAAGTCTTATAGAACAGGTAGTACTTGGTCTAACAGACTTTAAACAAGCTTCCACAGTCTGCAGTGTTTTCCATATGTCCCACTGTTACAGCCCTGTGCCTGGTTACTCGTCTGGATTCATCACCCACCCACCTGACCCCTCATGAGACCACACATACTATTGTATGTGCATCCACTACTCAATACAGTGAAAGCAGCTGCTTGTTTCAATAGGTTTATGACTTAAATATTGCCTCCCTCAGTGTGTTCATGTGAGTTTGGACATTTGAAAATGCTGCTGAAGCTGTAAAACGTAAAACCGGACTCCCTCGTTCACTGTATCCCTCACACTTTCACACGATAGAATGCCAATTCCACACTCGTCATATATGGAAGTTCAGACGGCGTTTCTTCATGTAAATAAAATGTAAATGAATGTTGTTCATATCTGGATGTTGGTGAATTAGGTTCAGCTCTCATTTAAGGCAGATCTATTCCGCAAAATTGACTTTTTAGAACTTTTCTCCATGTTATGGCTGTTTCTTCCTTATTGACCCTCTGAAAGTTGTATTTGGAGTGATCCGTGTATGTTTGAGCGGTCTTTGATCACTTATTTTAATCCTGATATATGCCTATTGCTCTGCACTTACTTCCTTGTCCAATTTATTTTGATACAAATGAAAAAAAAAAACATTACTCACTAGTGTGATTTTTTAAAAGTGATTTTAGATCATATTTTGAATTAAAATGCTCAAATTATATCATAATGATCCATGTGTGCCATAGAGTACAATTATATAGCAGACACAAGCACAATAGATCTTAATCTTAAATCTGCTTTAAGAAGACATTTGGCTGCTTCAGAACGCAGACCAAAGTGCAGAGTTCTCAGCATCTTTTCAAAGTGGAAGTTACAAACGATAATAAAACATTAATGAATAAGGCCCATTGTGTCACGTGGAAACAGAGGGAGGACCCAAAACGCAGGACTGCTTCAAAATATTTAATGACAAATCAAAAAAATCCAAAACTCAAGACTTAATTGCCATGACAAGAGACATGGAGAAACTCGGACAGAGACAATGGACCAACCAGATCTGACCCAAGCAGACTGCTCTACTTTTTTATTTTTTATGTGTGGGGAAGTGGATTGTCTCCTGCAGGCCCAGGACTAAGCCTGCCTGAGTTTGCCACCTCCAGATGTGTCACCAGGAGATATGGGGCTTGCAGGAGGCAGCCCGGCCCTGCTTATTCAGCCCTTCCTACACCTCAGCTCCCACCTGTTTCACAATAGCCACTGGAGCCCAATGCCAGTACAGACTGCCCACCATCCCTGGATCCTATTCCGTTAAAGCCTTTATTGGAGCTTCTGACCTTGACCTGCCTGTTTCTGTTCCTGAGCCACTGCTGGACACTTCTCTCCGTCTGGGGTGGTTGTTTCCCTGTGTCCCTGCTGCAGCTTCACTGGACACTGTTCTCCGTCCAGGGAGCTTGCCTCCAGATCCTTCCCCTGCTCCTCCTCAAAGTGTGCTCCAAACGATGCTTCTTGTCTCGGTCTTTGCCATCGCCATTGGTGACGTAGTTAAAAGCTCCCAGAACATTGAACTTCCCTGGACTGCCTCCATGGCCACTTGACCCCCTCAAACTGCCTTTACCTTCATGACCCCAGACTGTCCTGACTGTTTTTTCAGATCTCTTGTTCCTCCTCCAGGTCCCCCTCCACCCTCCCGACTTCACTGTGACTCCTTGGGACGTCTGGGAGCCATCCTTTCTGTCATGGTTCATGTTTTGTAGTGGTTGTAGTTTGTGTTTTATTTTGACATTTGTCCTGTCACCTTGTATTTTTGAGTTTTACTTCCCATCTTGATTGTTTGCCCCACCCTAATGTGTTTCACCTGTGTCTATGTGTGTGCATTTATACCCTGTGTTCTCCTCTGCCCTTTGTTGGTCCATTGTCTCTGTCCGAGTTTCTCCGTGTCTCTTATCGTGGCAATTTAGTCTTGCGTTTTAGATTTTTTTGCTTTGTCATTAAATATTTTGAAGCAGTCCTGCGTTTTGGGTCCTCCCTCTGTTTCCACGTGACACATTGGTTTGAATGGGTTTATTATGAGCGATATTCTCTGTTATTTGTCATGATCATGGTTTTGGTTCATATCTCTATGATAAGGCTTATTCTTTTAAAGTGAATGTGACAGGTTTTCATGTTTTTCTATTTATGACTGGGTGTGGCGGGAGTGTACCTGTAGTGAATATCTATCATAGGAAGACAAGAAAAGACTCTGAATATGTGTACCTATGTCATCAACACATTCAAAGTTTACTGCATACTTTAGATTTTTCTAATGTAAGTGTGAAATTCATTGAAGGTGCATTATGTAATTATGAGGGTCACCTTCTTGTTTCTATGGATATGCCATTGCTCCACCTGGATGTTCCACAGTGTAACATTTAACAGCTCTACATTACATTTATTCAATTACAGGTGGTTTTATAACTCAGAAATACTTAGAAAAACAGACATTCTGACTGTAAGCAGGGTCGCCTCTCCACAGATCTGACCTGTAACTTGGTCTGGTTTGGTCTGCATGAAGATAGCAAGTTACACAGTGGTCTTTAAGTTCAGAGCAGCGTAAAAAATATCACACATATGAACAAACAAGAACACAGTGAGCAGAGTGGAGCTGCACACAGGATAACAGCATGTGGAGGTTTGACACAGTCCACAAAATCTGCACCTTTAAGGGCCTGTTAACACGAGATCGCTTGCAGGTAAAAACAACAAAATATTTAAATCGGAAGTGCCTTTCGTTTAGACAGTTTTTGGGGCTTAAAAACACAAAAATCTGAAACCATCCTCCGGAGTGGAAAAGTTGAATACACTCCACCGTAGCGTTTCTGTCTACACTGCCCAAGAGGCAAAACTTTGATCAGATCTGCTCAGATCTCCTTCACATACAGTATGTACAGTGTACATACAAGACACAGAAACAAACATGTGGGATCATTTCCATGCATTGGACCTTCAAGCTGCTCTGGCAGCTCTAATAAACTTACAGGAGGCTCCCAACAAATGTACAGAATCTGCAGAGATACTATTAGTGAAGAGAGAAGAATCTGCAATCACCTCTGTTAAATTCTGGATGCACCAGTTGGTTGCAGGCGAGCTAGACAGATATGGATGAGACCTGGAGAACCAGTTGATGGTGGAACAACTTTGTGGAAGGAGGAGCTGATGAAAATGTGTGGTGTGAAAACTTCTGTGTGTCCAAAGATGTCCTTGTTGCTTTAAGTACATGCATACCCAATCGAATTCCACACACTTTGCGTCACTGTATTCCACTGTATTTCCTCCCAAAAGCACTCATCTAAACACTGAATAAAAAGTGACGACGCGACGCCACTTTTGTGTCTTCTGTTCAGACCGTCATCATATAAACGTAGTCTAAAACACCTACAGGGTAATGAGTAGAACACATTGAGTGCTGTCTTTCACTCAGAGTTTCTCTCAGAGCATTTTGGGTAAAGTTCTACAACTCCTAATAATGTCACGTCACAACAGTCTACTTGCAGACTGCAACATTTCGGGAATCCTCAAAATTGCAAATTGAGTTAGTGCCAGCTTTAATTTTATGTGATGAATGTCCAAGATAAGTAATTTCATTAATTGAAAAGAAAGCAATCCCTCAGTCTAAAAATGATGCATGGATCAGTATAAATGAGCGTCAGGTTAAAATGTGAGTAAATGACGTTAGCCCCAGAGCAGCTCCCATCTGTCACTGCTGTCCCTGTCCTGTACTCATGGGCAGTGTCACAGAGTCAAGTCCACTCATCTGGATCAGTGCTCTAACACCTCAGGGAGATTGGTCACACATGAAAGAATATACATTTCATTAAGGAGCCTCACATGAGTTTTATTTGGGTTGCCAGTTTCAGTGCTGAAATCCAGATGGTTTATAGGTTCTATATTATGCAAAACTGACTCTTGTGAGCGTTAAGTCATGTTAGAATGTTGTTCCCTCCTCAAAAACAGACCTGGAGTTGTATTTTGTATCATTCACACATGTTTGAGTAATCCTTTATTATTAGTATGTCTACTCAAACGCTCTTTTCCACCTTGTGATGTCATGAAGAGGGTAGTTTTCAAGTTAACCTTTTACCGTTTGTTCAGTAGAGATTGGTGTGATGGAAATTTATATTGTGGAAATCTCTTTGTGTAAATGAATGTGATTTCTAATCCGAGACCAGAGCATCATTAACATGTATAAAGGCTCGACAGAACAGACACAACTATCTACAGACTAAGGAAGCTCTTTGTTGTACTACCTTCGGCGGCACGGTGGCTGAGTGGCTAGCGCTCATGCCTCACAGCAAGAAGGTTCCAGGTTTGATCCCCAAAACATACTACATAAGTCTCCAGACAGAACAGTTTATAGACAAGGTCAATCAATGAACCTGCCCAGGGACTACAGGTGGAAATCAGCATTGTTGCTACTAGGGCTGGGTATCATTAAGAAGTTGCCGATACGATACATATCTCGATACACAGGCCACGATACGATACATATACCGATACAGTGCACTTTCGATTTGATATGATATAATTCAAATTGATTCGATACAGTTCAATAAAAAATAAAGGCTAAATCATGGCTGTGATACTAAAAGTGTTTGTTAAACCATTTCTTGTGCAAAGTTCATATGAAACACAAACATTTTAATCATCAAAACAGAGGCAAAATGTCAAATGTGTTTCATAAATGAGTTTCCTTTCACTCCACAAGCAACAAAACTGTAGCGCTGTAACAAAATAATTTAGTAAAACACACAATACTCTTTGTGATATATCGATACAGTAGCCCACGATATCGATACTGTATCATCACATTAAACGATACGGTATATTGATATTCCGATATTTTTGCACACCCCTAGTTGCTACAACCTGGTACAATGCACTCTTCTGTTAAGTTTAATGTGAATTGTGCACTGTCCCTGTCTCATTAAATAAATAAATATAAACCTGTCCTCAAATGTAAGTTGATTAGCTCAAGTCTGTCTGCTTTGATATATATGTAAATTGTACTTCTGTATAAATACTCAGAGGTCAGATGCTCTGGGGGAGATACTCAGGAAATGCAGAAAAGGGGTGACTGGAGAGAGGAGACTCTCTCGGGAGAGGCTGTTGGTCTGTGGCCAGGGCAGACCTAGACCCTGTCCATATCTGGTGCAACAACAATTAACCTTTGTCTGTATTCCAAAAACTCATCAGGCTTCACAGATGGATTAATTATTTATCATCAAGAGATCATATTTTTTTCCACAACACTGGCAATTCTAGAACTAAAATCATCCAAATGATTCTAGTGAAGGTGAATAGAATTTAAAAACTAAAAATAGAGTGGTACTACTTCCTGTAGTACCACATAACATCACAAGCTGAGTGTTTGAGAGCCTAAATATGACTAAATATGCATGATTTGTGTGTTTAACATGTGTTAATGAAACAAAACACAACTCCAGGTTTTATAACACAGATCGGAAAATAGCATAATATGGGCCTTTTAAACCTAAAATGTCTCTTTCTGATCTGAATGGTCACTCCGTAAGCCCAAGAACCTAATTCCAATCCTGAATCAGTGCTACTGCAGCCTTTGCAGCTCAGGGAGGGAATTCTGGAGGTTCTGAGCTTTCATTGTAATACCTTTCTGAAACTGTATGCGCACACACTACATAGAGTTCCTTTAAGTAAATCTATACATCTGTACACCCTAAGCCCAGTTCTGGTCACTCCTGGTTGATCCATTAAATAGTGACTTAGACCAACAGCATTTTATTATAGTACATTAAAGTCTATTTAGTCAAAGTCTGCTGTATTTACTTTATTTTTTATTCTATCATAGTTTGTAAATTTTGATCACAACAATGATAATAAAACCTTTTCTGATTGTGATTGTAAAGAAGACAGCATTATATTGTTACATTATACATTATATTATTACATTATACATCTAGTTGTTGAGTTGGATTATGAGAAAAGTGCAGGATTTAACTGTCCTCTTGTGTGTTTTGGGCTGTAACAATATCCAAGTCTCATGACACGATATTTATTACAATATCGTGGGAAAGCTCACGATATGGTGGAGAGGCTCACGATTAGGGATGTAACAATATCCAAATCTCTCGGTACGATATTTTCACGATATACATGTCACGGCATGATATTTATTGTGATATTTTGTGGAGGCTAACAAAACTGAATATGCAACTTTTTCCTCTTAAAATGCCTTGACAAGACTTAATCCAAAGAGCTAAGACTTCAAAGTGCTCAGAACTGTTATTTCTTCTTGTAGTCTGCACTGAAATGGAGCAAAGGATCATGGTCTATGTAGTTCCCTCTGTCTTTTTAGCTATTGCTGGCCCATAACTACGGAAGCGGAGAGGGGTCACAACAAACGCAAACGAAGCAACAAATACAAATGCCACAACACAAACACAAATGCCGCAACACATTAAAAAGCCACAACACATCAAAAAGCCACAACGGAAGTGACCGCGGGACTCTATTTTCTGACGGACCGATCAAGTGGCAAGTGAAGAAGAAGAACTACAACATGAAACGAATAATGATAAAACAATAAATTACTTTTACTTACGTTTCCAACTTCTCCGTTCCTTTACTTTTCACGTTGTAGTTCTTCTTCTTCACTTGCTGCTTGATCAGTCCGTGGGAAAATAGAGTCCCGTGGTCACTTCCGTTGTGGCTTTTCTTGGTGTGTTGTGGCTTTTTGTTGTGTTGTCGCATTTGTATTTGTTGCGGCGTTTGTGTTTCTTGTGACCCCTCTCGGCTTCCGTACTTAACTCTTAATTTAAGTAAAGACTTGTGATTCGATACATTGTGATGGTCCATGATAGTCTTATGAGAAATTGACGATACGATATTTCGGTTATTGTTACATCCCTGTGTGTGTTGAGTTTGACTGTTCTCTCAGCGCTCATCTCCTCACAGCTGTGGGTGAACACTGCCACATGATCAGGCCTGTTTCACACTAGAGCCTGGTGCCTGACGCTCGTGTGGCTCAGTCCTGAACAAGAACTGTGTTTGTTTTACAGTGCGGACGAGCGCTTCGACGCCACGTTTCAAACCAACATCCTGGTCCAGCATACAGGCGAATGCTCCTACTTACCCCCAGGTAAGGACTACACCTGGACTACAGAGTAAAGACTAGGGACTAAAACAGGACTGAAACAGGACTAAAGCAGGACTGATACAGGACTGAAACAGGACTAAAACAGGACTAAAGCAGGACTGAAACAGGACTGAAACAGGACTAAAACAGGACTGAAACAGGACTGAAAAAGGACTGAAACAGGATTAAAACAGGACTAAACCAGGACTAAACCAGGACTGAACCAGGACTGAACCAGGTCTAAACCAGGACTGAAACAGGACTGAACCAAGACTAAAACAGGACTGAAACAGGACTAAAACCGGATTAAAACAGGACTGAAACAGGACTAAACCAAGACTAAAACAGGACTGAACCAGGTCTAAACCAGGACTGAACCAGGACTGAACCAAGTGTAGCACTTATACAATGCCACAATAGGAGGTATAGTAGTAGTAGTAATAATAATAATAATAACAATAGTAATGGTAATAGGCTAGATCAGAAGATAGAGTTCGGCTCGGAGGGAAGTGAGGTGTTTAATGAGACACTTACACAAGATTGTAGCTTAGTTGTGGTGTTATTATTTACAGTGTACCAACAGACAGTATTTACAATATTTACAGATGTGCACATTTATGTGACTGTGTTCAGAGTCCGAGGAGTTCAATGTGTTATAGTCCTTAGTCCAATTGCAGTTGAGCAGCAGCAAAAGTTTATATAATCCACACGGAGATCATGTGAAAGGAAAAAAAAAGAGTAAAGTGGGTGATTTTCTAGCAGAGTCAATAAGGGGCCCAATGCCCACAGCAGGGGGCAGTGGGTGTGTGAGTGTGTGTGGGTTGAGCGGCTGCTACGCCTCCCACTGCACAGGCAGATGCTTGCACTCTTAGTTTGGTTCTGGTTCTAGGCCTTAGCTCGCCATCCAGTGTCTGAGAGTCCAGTTTCTGAAGAGTTCAGTTCTGGAGAGTTCAGTTTCGGAACCAAAACAGGACCAGCAGTGAGTAATACAATTATTTAGTACAACTAAGTCACTATAAAACATTTTCCAAACATCATAACATTTTGTCATAATAAATCTGAGTAATAATTCCATCCATGTACATGCACCAGTATTAGTCAATATCAAGAGTACTCCATTGTAAAATATTTCCCATTAACAATAGGTAATATGTTATTTTAAATTACTTAGATTAACAATTTAACAGGGTCATATCATTCATAATTTGCTGTCAATATTAGTACAAAACCGAATAAATTGTATTGAAAAGCGGTCATATAAATGAATGTGAACAACCGAGCACGCGCTCACAGCTCCGTATTGAATTACACTGAATCGGAGCGCTAGCATTAGCATTAGCATTAGCTCCGCACAGCAACAAACAAAGTGAACTCACCAGTTGCACTTAGTTTAACCACATAGGATCACGACAGCACTTCGTCGTTAAGGCAAGAGGCATCTAGGGAAGTTGATGACATATGAGTTACTTTAATATACTTTTAGAGTGAAACAGTGAGTTTTTAGAGCAATAATCTTCTACCTGCAGCAGCTCAGTCACACCCAACCACGTCACAACACACGAGTGAATGGGAGCGTGCGCGCGGCCATGTTTAAAGAGCTTGGCGCAATCAGTCTCGCGATAGTTGAGAACAACGGCAGCCAAAATATTAGGTAGAGAGGGCCAGGAACAGAAAATACCTGGGTTACACAAGACTGAAACAAGACTGAAACAGGACTGAAACAGCACTAAAACAGGACTAAAACTGGACTAAAACTGGATTAAAACAGGACTAAAATAGGACTGAAACAGCACTAAAACAGGACTAAAACCAGACTAAAACAGGACTAAACCAGGAATAAACCGGGACTAAAACAGGACTAAACCAGGAATAAACCGGGACTAAAACAGGACTGAAACAGGACTAAACCAGGGCTAATACCTGGCTAAAACAGGTTAAAACCAGACTTAATACCAGTCTACAGATTTAATCCCCTACATCTAACTGGCAAATTTAACCAACCATCACTTTTTTTTTTTTTTTTGTATCAACAAATGCGTACTAAATAGATTCTCTGCTTTTAATAATGCCCAAAGGAAATTGCAGATTCTAAAAGGCGCGTCATGCAGTGTTCAAGGCCATGTTATGTCAAGATTCAATTTACCAGAATATAGACATTTTTAAGTCCCACTTTCACTTGTTTATGTGTTACTCTAGCCCAGAGAATGATGTTGTTTTCTGCTTGGTTTGGGACTAATGGACCGTGCTGGAAATAATTAAAGTAGCGGGGAGTTGTGCCGAGAGCAAGGAGACCAACATAGGAGACGTTTATTTCCTATTAGTACAGGACACAGGCTGGAGGATTTCTTGGAACAGCAGCGCAATGAAATCTCCATTTGAATTACCCAGGTTCAACAATATTTAAATAAAGAATATGATGAGGTTTTTGGATTTTTGTTTTGTTTTTCTGAATACATTTTGGTAGTCGTCAGTCCACCCTCTGAACTTTTATACACAGCTGCAATCTTGCCTTATTTCTAATGATGACCAAAGTGCAGTACACAGCAATAATTATAAAAGGTCATCAAATAACGGAGTGTCTATTTGCTCCCTGGGTGTTAATCGTTCAATGGACACGATTCTTCTGTTTACATCCATCTCAAGAATAATGGGAACAGTGGCGTGTCCGCTTACGTCGTTTCCTGTGAAAAGTGCGGGAAGCTGGATTTGAGAATCCAAAGAAATAAAATTCAAAACAAAGGTAAGGTAAGGTAAAAGATAAGTCAGTGTTGCTACAAAATATATTTGCGATGCCTGTCTGATCATTACTATTTGGGTAATTAATTTGAAAGCATCACAGCATCATGGGAAGTTTATTTAGCTTGTGTGATGTATAGCTATATGTATGAGGACTAAAACAGGAATAAACCAGGACTAAACCGGGACTAGAACAGGACTAAAACAGGACTAAACAGAGACTAAAACAGGACTGAACAAGGACTAAACCAGGACTAAATCAGGACTGAACCAGGACTAAAACAGGAGTAAATCGGGACTAAAACAGGACTAAACCAGGAATAATAATAAGAATAATACAATAATACAAATTTGTATATATAATAAAATTTTTATATTATATTGTATACGATTAATTGACCAAGAAATTATTGCGATAAATGATAATATTTCACCGATTTCAACTAATGTAATGACCATGGAATAAAAATGCAAATACATCCTCTCAAAGATCAAAAAACCTTACTTTCTAAAAAATATTTAGCACCGGAACTTCAAAACAAGAAAAAACAATAAGTCTAAATAAAATAGATTTGTTAACATAAGAATAGCCTAATGTGTCTGGCTGACAGCAAGGACTTCTTCACAAAAATGCTCTTGAATAAACCATTGTTGAACCAAATACAACCAAAACAATAAATAAAATGGATTATTAAGTCTCTGTAACAAAATTGCCCTTAAAAGTGATTTTAGTCACTGACTTACATTGGTATATTGTGTCTCCTCTCTCTGTGGCTGCTGCTGTGGCCTCGTCATTTTGGTCTTGAAGTGTTCGTGTTAACCCGCAACACAGCATGCTATTTCTCTATGAGGGAGCCTCTGTCCTGTCTGGTATCATGTCAGTGTCTTGTGGGATTTCAGTGGATTTTGGGCTCTCCTTGGGACGAGGTTAGTTGTGTTAATGGGGTATGTGTTTATGTCGGCTGCTGGGCTTTGAGCCATTTCTTCTAGCTGTTTGCGCGCTCGCTGCGTTTGACGTATCTGACCTTTGAGACATGTCCCACTCACTAGTGTCGATTTGGCATCGTGACTTGTTTTGTCACAAGCGATGAACTGTTTTGGTTCTGATGCGGTGCTATCTTTGCAGCTTCATGTTCACCACAGACAGCAGTGCTTTCTGCACTCAGGCTGCTCTCATCTGCTGTGTTGATGAACAAATAATCTGTCTAGTCTACGCTGGCATATTCATTCAAGTGTCATTAAATTAAACGAGAGAAGTCAGAGAGTGATAGAAGCCTTTTTGACATTCAGACGCTTTGATAGAGAGCGAGAGAGAGAGAGACAAGGAAAACAAACAAACATGCAAATAGAATTTATTGCGGCCAGAAAAGTTATCGAGCTTGTTAAAAGTTATTGTACGATTAATTGATTTATTGATTGATTATCGTTACAGACCTAATGTGGACAGACTACAGAAACAGCTAGTGTAAAGGATAAATGTTGACAGGAATGGATGATTTCAAAAGGGAAAAGTACATTATTGTGGCTTATGTGATGAAACTGGAAGAGAGTACGTGCCAAAAAAACCACTGGACTCAGCTCAGGTTTTTTTCCATCCATCAAGTTGCAGCTTGTTGTTTTGATTTAACATAATGTTGGGATTCCATTTGTAAATAGGTTAGGCATTCATAAATCATCTCACTATACAACTACTACTTAGAGCTGGGTATCATTCATAAATTGCTGGTACAATACATACCTCGATACACAGGCCATGATACGATATTTATCTCATAGGGCTGAACGATTTTAAGAAAAAATTGAACTGCGATCTTTCTAGCAGATATTGCAATTTCGATTTCATCAACAATTTTTTTCAAATCAAGTTTCAGAGCACACGAACATTTGCAAATATCACAGAAACTTACATCATACCAGAGTCGTGTACTGATGATTTAATGCTGGACCATAAAAAGCCCAGTTTATGCAGACAATAAGAGCTGTGATTGGTCCTCTCTGCATCTGAGCTACAGACATTTCCTATACTCCACTTTCCTTTCTTTCCATAGTAGGAATGGGCATTCGATTAAATGTTCTTAATTGATCGCCGGGAGAATTAACGATTGATTATCGATTAATCATTAATGTTTTTATATTAAAATGATCATCATTATTATTACTATCTGCACTACTAATCTGCATAAATAAATTCAACTTTACGACTCTAGAGCCACATCAGCCTCTTTGACATTATAATGTGTTTAATGTAACTTTGCACAACTCTCACA